GATATAGTAATAAAAGATAAATGATGGTTCTGTTGTTGGCGGTGTTTTAGACAGATTTAATATATGGACATGGCCGATATATAGTAATATAGTATTTTATCTGTCTAAAACGCCGCAAACACCAGATACAATACATGGACTTGGCCGTATATAGTAATCGAGTATTATATCTGTCTAAAACGTCGCTTACAACAGATATAATATATGGACTTTGCAAATATATAGAAATAATAGATAAATGATGGTTCTGTTGTTGGCGCCGTTTTAAACAGATATAATACAAGACATGGCCGATATATAGTAATATAGTATTATATATGTCTGAAACGCCGCAAACAACAGAACCATCATCACTTGTATTATTTCTATATATCGCCGCAAACACCATATATAATACATGGACTTGGCCGATAATAGAGAGATTACGTTTTTGTTGTTGGCGGCGCTTTAGACAAGATATAATACATGGATATGACCGATATAGTAATAAAAGATAAATGATGGTTCTGTTGTTGGCGGTGTTTTAGACAGATTTAATATATGGACATGGCCGATATATAGTAATATTGTATTTTATCTGTCTAAAACGCGGCAAACACCAGATATAATACGTGGAATTGGCCGATAATAGAGAGATGATGTTTCTGTTGTTGGCGGACTTTTATACAAGATATAATACATGGACATGACCGATATAGTACTAAAAGATAAATGATGGTTCTGTTGTTGGCGGTGTTTTAGACAGATTTAATATATGGACATGGACGATATATAGAAATAATAGATAAATGATAGTTCTGTCTAAAACGCCGCTTACAACAAATATAATACATTTACTTTGCTGATATATAGAAATAATAGATAAATGATGGTTCTGTTGTTGGCGGCGTTTTAGACAGATATAATACATGGACATGGCCGATATATAGTAATATAGTATTATATCTGTCTAAAACGCCGCAAACAACAGAACCATCATCTCTTGTATTATTACTATATCTCTGCCATGTCCATGTATTATATCTGTCTAAAACGCCGCAAACAACTGATATAATACATGGACTTGGCCGATAATAGAGAGATTATGTTTCTGTTGTTGGCGTTGTTTTAGACAAGATATAATACATGGACATGACCGATATAGTAATAAAAGATAAATGATGGTTCTGTTGTTGGCGGTGTTTTAGACAGATTTAATATATGGACATGGCCGATATATAGTAATATAGTATTTTATCTGTCTAAAACGCCGCAAACACCAGACATAATACATGGACTTGGCCGATAATAGAGAGATTATGTTTCTGTTGTTGGCGGTGTTTTAGACAAGATATAATACATGGACATGACCGATATGGTAATTATAGATAAATAATGGTTCTGTTGTTGGCGGTGTTTTAGACAGATTTAATATATGGACATTGCCGATAAATAGAAATAATAGATAAATGATGGTTCTGTTGTTGGCGGCGTTTCAGACAGATTTAATATATGAACATGTCCGATAAATAGTAATATAGTATTATAACTGTCTAAAACGCCTGAAACAACAGAACCATCATCTCTCTATTATTACTATATATCAGCCATGTCCATGTATTATATCTGTCTGAAACGCCGTAAACACCAGATATGATACATGGACTTGGCCGATAATAGAGAGATGATGTTTCTGTTGTAGGCGGCATTTTAGACAAGCTATAATACATGGACATGACCGATATAGTAATAAAAGATAAATTATGGTTCTGTTGTTGGCGGTGTTTTAGACAGATTTAATATATGGACATGGCCCATATATAGAAATAATAGATAAATGATAGTTCTGTCTAAAACGCCGCTTACAACAAATATAATACATGGACTTTGCCGATATATAGAAATAATACATAAATGATGGTTCTGTTGTTGGTGGCGCTTTAGACAGATATAATACATGGACATGGCCGATATATAGTAATATAGTATTATACCTGTCTAAAACGCCTGAAGCAACAGAACCATCATCTCTCTATTATTACTATATATTGGCCATGTCCAAGTATTATATCTGTCTAAAACGCCGCAAACACCAGATATAATACATGGACTTGGCCGTATATAGTAATCGAGTATTATATCTGTCTAAAACGTCGCTTACAACAGATATAATATATGGACTTTGCAAATATATTGAAATAATAGATAAATTATGGTTCTGTTGTTGGCGCCGTTTTAGAGAGATATAATACATGGACATGGCCGATATATAGTAATATAGTATTATATCTGTCTAAAACGCCGCAAACAACAGAACCATCATCACTTGTATTATTTATATATATCGGCCATGTCCATGTATTATATCTATCTAAAACGCTGCAAACACCATATATAATACATGGACTTGAACGATAATAGAGAGATTACGTTTTTGTTGTTTGCGGCGTTTTAGACAAGATATAATACATGGACATGACCGATATAGTAATAAAAGATAAATGATGGTTCTGTTGTTGGCGGTGTTTTAGACAGATTTAATATATGGACATGGCCGATATATAGAAATATAGTATTTTATCTGTCTAAAACGCGTGCAAACACCAGATATAATACATGGACTTGGCCGATAATAGAGAGATGATGTTTCGGTTGTTGGCGGACTTTTAGACAAGCTATAATACATGGACAGGACTGATATAGTTATTATAGATAAATAATGGTTCTGTTGTTGGCGGTGTTTTTGACAGATTTAATATATGGACATGTCCAATATATAGAAATAATAGATAAATGATGGTTCTGTTGTTGGTGGCGTTTTAGACAGATTTAAAATATGGACATAGCCGATAAATAGTAATATAGTATTATATCTGTCTAAAACGCCTGAAACAACAGAACCATCATCTCTCTATTATTACTATATATCAGCCATGTCCATGTATTATATCTGTCTAAAACACCGCAAACACCAGATATAATACATGGACTTGGCCGATAATAGAGAGAAAATGTTTCTGTTGTTGGCGGCGTTTTAGACAAGATATAATACATGGACATGCCTGATATAGTAATAAAAGATAAATTATGGTTCTGTTATTGGCGGTATTTTAGACAGATTTAATATATGGACATGGCCGATATGTAGAAATAATAGATAAATGATGGTTCTGTTGTTGGCGGCGTTTTAGACAGATGTAATATATGGACATGGCCGATAAATATTAATATACTATTATATCTGTCTAAAATGCCGCAAACAACAGATATAATACATGGCCTTTGCGAATATATTGTAATTATAGATACATAATGGTTGTGTTGTTGGC